AGTTTCCCAGAGAACCTCGGTAGTTTTGGTATCTCTATCAACATGTGCATTTCCAAACAGTTTAATAAAACAAAATAAAAATTTTATTTTGTAATCTCAGTTTAGAAAAAAAGTCATTTAGGGACAAAAACAGAAGTTGAAACATTATCATCTTCTGTGGACCGAAAAGTCTGAAATTTGCTCCTTGTGGCAAAAGAGCCGCCATGATGTTGCCTCTCATCTCTTTGTTTAGGTTGGTGTGATTCAGACTCTGCTAAAAAGTCACAGCTCTGCAGCTCTTGTATAGTTCGTTACAGATTTTAGCATGCACCACAACTTAATAGTATTAAGACTTTTAACAACACTGAGAGTGTTATAGCTGGGATTATTAAGGTGGCTAGCCAGCTATATAGTCATTGCATGCCTGTGAATTATTGCCTAATGCAAAGGACTAGGGTTTAGGGTTTTTTTCAGATGAGTTGTTAGTGGGGAAAAAAACACTTTATTCGCTCCTCTAGTCCTGCCAGATGCAGAGCAGTAAGTGACAATTCTGAAGCTGTCAGAATTTAGTCCAATTGGGGGATTGGACTAGATGATCTTTTGAGGTCCCTTCCAATCCCTAATATTCTGTGATTCTGTGATATCACTTGGCCTGGAGCTAAGCATAAGCAAACTAGGCAATTATATAGTGAGGCACAATTTGGGACACTAAAACGGCCGTGACCCCACTGCCTGCGTCAGAGCCCAGAAAACCAAGTTGGCTGCTGTGTTTGAAAGGCCGGAGGGTGCACAATCCAGCTAGCCCTGCAGTTGAAGAGCAGCAGTGTCCTCAGGGCTCCCCAGGCATAAGTCCCAGGAGCTCTGTCTTACCTTTGGCCCTTCTTCCTCCTTTCCCTTTTCTGTGGCAAGAGGCCAATGCCTGGGCTTGTCCCAATACCTCATCCTACTGATGGCAAAAGGCAGGTTTGCCTCCACTGATAAGAAACCTTGAACAAACCTGAACAAAAATGTCTTTGCTGTTGCAAAGGAGCTGTGAAGCAGAATACCCTCAAAATGGAAGTGCACATATAAGGCTTCCTTGCACAACACCCTCTATAGTGTTGGAGCACTTATTTTGCTGACTTGAAGTGGGATGGTATGCAGACTTTCTTGTTGCAAAGAGCTTACAGCTTTTTGGCTGAGATTGTCCATGGATGACTATTCAGTTACCCTTGCACAGTCTAAATAATATTTAACTCCTTTCAGTCACTAATTATACGTTTCTACTTAACAATAGGAGATATCAGCCTGAAACTTTCCTCCCTAAAACCAAATTTAGCAAAGAGACGTGCAGATGGGACCCAAAAAAGAGTTGCTTCAAGCCTCTTAAATAAATCCTTCTCATATCTGAGAATGAAAAGAGATCTGAAGAAGAAAGTGTTATCCTTCTCCAGCTATGATAGTCATGGCAATGAATTTCCTAGATTAAGTTTGTTCATGAAGTCTTTCATATAGTATTGGATTCTTCAATAAAATAACTGCTTTAGATATCAGAGTTCATACTTTACATGTAATTTCTGTAATGAAGAGATGTCTTTTCCTGTTCTTGTGGTCCAAAGAATATATGCAGATGTTCTGCTGGTACCTTTGCCTGAAGGTGCCTTTTGTCCCAGAGAATGGTAAGTGTCAGCTCAGTGGATGGGTCTGTGGTTTGGAGGATTCACACCAGTGGATGGGTGGAATGGCTTTAACCTTTCCTCCTTCCTGTCTGGCCCCAGTCCACAGCTGACTGTGGTGGGCAGAACAAGAGCGTGGTCACAGCTCTTTGCACTCCTACATTTTGAGCCACTTCCACAGTGCCGTAGCTTAACTTGGCTGGCAGCCAAATACCACACAGCCGCTTGCTCACTCTCCCCTTGCCCCAGGGAAGAGGGGAGAGAATTGGAGGGGTAAAGGTAAGGAGATTTTTAAGTTGAGATAAGAATAATTTAATAATTGAAATAAAATAAATCTAATAATAATAATAATGCTAATAATAATAATATATGGAAATGAGTGATAGACAGTGCAATTGCTCACCACCCACTGATCGATGCCCAGCCTGTTCCCAGATAGCGATCCCAGAGGAGCAAAAATCCCAAAACTGCAATCCCAGCAAAGACAGAGAGAGTGTATTCCAGTCAATTCTCATTTATATACTGAACATGACATTATATGATATGGAATATCCCATTGGAATATCCAAATGCCAATTTGAGTCTATAATTTTACTATGCCTCCCCAGTTTTCTTCTGCACCTGCAGACTAGCAAAACATGTGAAGTTGGAACGTTCTTGATGTTCTTAGCAACAATGAAAAAAACAGTATATTATCAATGTTCTCATTCCAAATCCCATACTGAAACCAAAATACAATGCTATTCTGGCTACTAAGAAGAAAATTAGCTCTGTCTCAGCTGAAACCAGGACACAGAGGTACCACAAATAGGCACTTTTGCCAAAGTTCATTCAGCTGATTTTGCTTCTGTCACTGAGCAACAGGTATGATCAACTTTGCAGTGATCAGTACTACTCAATGGAATATTTGTAACAGTCCTTTAAAATAAGTCATGTTATTAGGTAGAGAACATTTTAGACACAAAGTAAAAGACATGTAAAGAGACTGTATTTAGTAGTCAGAAAGCAAACTGAGATCAGAAGTTTAAAAAAAAAATGATCGTGCAGACATGACGTGCATTTGTCTGCACTCTATGCTTTGGGTGGTTGTCAAGATCAGAGTGAGTCATCCAGCAAATATTGCAAATAACATATTCAGCGTTGCCAGATTACAGGTCTAAGCAGAAGCATCCTTGGCATACATACCCACTGAAATTATGAACAGGTGCCCACTATAAACCTGAGTATTGAGTTGCAGAAACAGCCCTCTGCTGTGTGTCTCAGTCCTGCACTATTAAATATATTCCAAACTTCTTTAATTGCTTCTGCAGCATCCTGCAGGGAGCTCAAAATTGTTTGTATACAGAAAAGAATTTCTAGGTTTGTTCACAACTGTGTTTGCAGCAGCATGTTGTTATTTCTGAGAGAATGAAAAAAATCAGTGACACAAAATTATAGTTTCCTTGCCTAGACCAGCATCCCCTTCAGACAGGATACCACAAACAATGGATCCTCGTAGAGTATTTATAATAGAGAGGGAAAGACTATGAGTATGTTAGACTGAAATCCACACTCTTTGTGTCATTTCTATGTTCTGTCACAGCTGCTGCACAAATCACTGTGGACAATAATTTTCTCATCATTCAGGTGCTCGATTCTAACTGAAAATTACTTCAGCACCCAAATACTTTTCTATTTTTACTCATAGACCATTTGCAGCTGCATCTCTTCTGTCAGTGGGACTAACAGCAACGTTCTGATGACAGCAACACTGATAGCCTCTGAGCCTTACTATATCACCACCACATTGCTGAGGATACTGCAGAAGAACAAGGACCAGAATGGATTTTAACATGAAATTTGAAAAGAGAGCATGAATTTTGCTCACTGACAATGTGAAAGACTGTTTTAAATACAGTTACCAAGCTGTACATTAAGAAATACAGAAATGTCTTTTATAAAGAGAGGCATTAGGGCAGATGATGTGAAAGGGCAAAAAATGCAGGGACAATGAACAAAGAGTAGACATCATCACAGCAAACTCCTGTCATTTAACATCATCGTATTCTGACACTGCTTTTTGCCTCAGGTAACTTTTCAGCTTTCAGGGTTTCAGCTTGTATTCAAGGATTGAATGTCTGGTGACCTAGGAGTTATTTCTCAGCTTCAGCACCAATTCTTACAGCAAATGTCATTATGACTGCCACCAAGGTCATTGGAAAAATCAGATGCAAAACCCATTTGCAGCCATCCAACTTGGCATACTCAAATGCAGGTCACGTCACCTTTAGTTAATAAAAGTTGTGGGAAATCTCATTTACATCATCAATTAAAAGTGTTCAGAAGTTTTTATAGCCCTGAGTGTGCAAATTTGTGACAACCCAGGATCATGCAATTTCTGTCTGTTTCTCTCTCTCTCTCTCGAAATAAAAGCCAGATGTATGAAAGTTACCATTCATAAAAGTGACTTAAAGATAATACCATGTCATCATTCTATTAAAAGGTCAATAAAGAAAGCCCATTAAAAAGATATGTGAAAAAATCCTAAGTGCAATCAGCCATTCAATATTCACCCCTCAGCAAGATTCAAAAAGGACATCTGTGCTTTTAAGTTTCTTTAATAATCAGTTTCTTCGCCTTGGAAGAAAGTCAATAAGCTAACTTTCAGAATTGAGCTGTAGGTCAAATGGTTTATCTCTTGACTATTAAAGCCTAAGAGAGAAAATACTGCTTAAGAGTAGGTCAAGATGAAATCTGTTTGAAATGAAGTTTTGAATTGTATAGAATGCAATTTTTGTTGAAGTTAGTACTGGTGAAACTGTTTGCATGGCCAGAAAGACTTAGAAATTATGCATGCTGATGGGCTATGTCTGGTTTTATCCTCCTGCTATCCTGTCTCTCCTGTGAAGCACTACTGCCTGGTGAAGACTGCAAACAGGAGAAATCTGGTTGGTTTTCCCCTCATTTAGCATGGAGGGCTGAGCTCTCTGAGCCATGCTATCCAGCATGACAGCCACAAGAGAGGAATGCAGGCAGAAAGGTGGGGAAAAAAAAAAACAATTTCTGGTGCTTAGATGGATTTCTGCTAGCACTAGGACCGAGTGTGTAAAGCCCGAGGAGCAGTGACCCTGCACCAGGACACAAAGGCTAGGTGAGGAACTTCAAAAGGGGTTGTTGGTCAGTAGGAAGGTGCCAGTGGGAATGTGCTAGGGAAGGGCGGCTGCACCTGCAGCCAGCTACAGCCTTCGGCTGCGGACAAGCCCTGCTAAGGCCACAGAGCAGGGAACCTTCATAGCCCAGTCAGGCTAATCTTTGAGTCCTACTATTTACCAACCCAACAGAAAACATTACTAAGCTCACTAATCTTCTATCCTCTTATCTTTCCAGCAATCTTGACACAGAAGAGCTCTGTGGTAAGTTCCTTTTTGGGCAAGAATATAATTTATGCCTGCAGCAGCCCTCTGCAAGTGAACATACCGTGCAATATGATTTTTGTGTGTGTGTGTTTAATCTTTGTAGCTGTATTTTAAAATAATTTCCATTTTTGGGAAACTGGGAGAATGCAGATGGCTTATAATCTTTTCAGACTCTGTCATCCATTACATGCAGAAATTGCTTTGAAAATATTTTTCCTAATCAATCTGTTCTGATGTAAAGAGAGATAGATAATTTATCTTGTTTCCCTTTCATATGAGATTTTTTTTTTCTAGTTAGTTAATCTTTCAAAGGTATGAGTGTTTTGGCAATTTTGAAAGACTGTCACTTTAGTATCCCACTAGAGGAAAGTTCATTGCTTTGCTCTAACTTGATCCAGTAAGAACAGCAGTTTGACAAGTTCTGTCATCCTTCATCACAAATACTCTCCTGCAAGACCTAAAGTTTGGCCCAGCTACCCATTTCTGTGCCCCATCCTGAGCTGTGAGTCATTTCCCCAAAGCCCCATTTGCTCCCTAGCTGATCTTGCAGCACCTGATTAAGGGGTGCTGCTTACAGCAGAAAACAATTCACAGAAAATTTCTGCAAGTCCTCCCACAAAATATAAAAAACCACAGATATACTTGTCAAGAACAGCCTATTTCTGAGGGAAAGATGGTTGCCTGGTAACTTTTCCAGTAATCAACAATGTTGAAGACCCATGAAAGCTGAAAATACTGTCAAGTTGAATGCTAGCTCTCTCACTTACCCCCAGTATGACTCCACCCATAGCCAAGAACCCACTAAGAGGCAGTAGGGCCTGTGGCTTATAGATATATGACAGGAGACTCAGCTGAAGTGAATTGGGCTGTGACGACTTCCACTGATTGAGAATCTGGCCGAAATTATATAAACCTGGCCAAGGAAAACAGGGGGTTTTGTTCCACAAGGGATTTATGGCTTTGGATGTTGCACTGGAGGTTTTCAGGTTTGCTTTGTACCTGACTGCACCAGCTACCTTAGACTGGCCAGAGGGCTGAGGCAGGTCTTAGCCTGGCACTGGCTCTGTTTGCTCTCTGTTTTGATTAAATATGGGCTGCTTCAGCTGCCTTTTAAATCTTTCATAGGTTGCCACTAGGGTGTCTTTCATCTGTGAATCTGAGTTTACTCAACACATGTTTAAGCTGGTGTTTATAAAACGCTTTTTGAGTTATCTCAGATCTCCTCAGAAATTAAGCTTCATTTCCAGGTTACTAATTCACAATATGTTTTCATCCTAAATAATTCCATTCAACCTCTCAGCAATACCAGGTTACGTCACAGTGCTCCTGAAACTTTCATGCTTTATGAGACTTTTCAGCTTCGTGACTCCCCTGAGAAGCTCACACTGACCTCTTAAAAGCCTCAGAGTATTGCTATCTATTATTTCAAAAAGCTCCTATCTAATCTTGTTCTTCCTGTCTGCCATTTAGATGTTGTTTTTCATGCTCTTCCATGTGATCTGATGTCTAAATGCCTTCTCTAGCACAGTCTCTAGCTTTAACATAATTTTCTTTCTTACTTTTTCCCTTCTGTGCCTCCCTCTGTTGTATTTTGCTGCATTGACCAAATGGCAAATCAGGTCATGATTTCCCAGCGTTGCTTCCTCCTCTTGTGTAATCCCTCTGATTGAATTATGCCCCCGATTTTACATCACCACTTTCTTTTAAAATGTCCTTTGCTTTGAGCACATATGCAAGGACATTCTGCAATTTATGTTATTTCCCATTATTTTTGTTAAAAGTATTTTGCATGCAACATTTTTGTTGAGAATATAATCACAGTATTTGGGACAAGAAGCTTATCTGGCCAACTCATGGTCTCTTCACTTCTCAGAAAGAAACAACTGGTCCCTGCTGACCCTAACTCACAACAGACTTTACTTGATCTTATGTCCTCTAAGGGCTTTATCAGTGTTATTCATTTTTGCATCAATATAATCAGATTTAGTACATATATATGTAATCTTCATTTCCTGCTAGTAACTATAAAGTAGACTATTAAACTGAAAATAAAAATTTAAAAATTTAAAAATAAAATAACCCTTTTCTTTGTAACTCTTCATTTTATATATCTAGATAGTTAATAATACCATAACTGAATTCAGACTTGATAAAATTGATATTTAATGAAATATTGATTTTTCAGGACATAAGAAGGTGATGTGGGTTTTCTTCTTCTTTTAGAATATTTTTCCAAGCACTTAGGAGAGTATGAAAATGTTCTATCTGTCTTGGAGGACTTAAATATAACCATACTGAAGGCAATGGACAAAACAAAGAAAGTAAGTAAAAACTGACATTTTATTTACATTTGTATATTTTGTTTATTTTAAGATGTATCCAGTATTTTTTTTATCTGGATAAATTTAGTAATTCATATTTAAGTTCTTCCACATATACATGTTGGTAGCAAAGGTCTGGTAGGAAAAGGCTTGTCAAAATGGATCAAAGCTGTAAAGCTCTACCTGCAAAGTATTATAGTTTGGATATAATCAAAATTGTCTTTGCAAATGATCTGAAGAATGTTCTCCATATTGTCATACCAACAGAGGGTTCCATGTCCCATGCCAAATGTGAGTAAGTATTATCAGCATATTAACATCTGAAAATAGTCTGAATTTGAAAAAGTAATTGTCCTGGTTTTGCTAGGATGGAGTTAATTTTCTTCTTAGTAATTAGAATAGCTGTGTTTTGGTTTCAGTTCAGACTTGTTATGAGAAGAACGTTGATAACAGTACTGGTATTATTAGTTGCTGCTGGAGCTCAAGGCCACCGTGTTTGGCTGCTTCACAGCTGCATCAGGACTGGGAGGGAGGAGTGTAGTGAATAGAAAAACCTAAAATTGGCATTTGGATGTGCCAATGAAATATTCCATATCATATCTCATCATGTCTAGTATATTATCCAGGGCTGACTGGAAGACGGGGGTAATTCTCTCTGGTTTTTGCTCGGGCTCTCGTTCTTCTGGGATTGCAGTTTTGGTTCAGGATTGTTGCTCCTCCGGGATCGTTATCCGGGAAGGGGCCGGGCTTAGTCAGCAGGTTGTGAGCAGTTGGACTGTGTATCACTCATTTGTATATTTTATTACTGTTATCATTATCACTACTATTTTAATATTAGGGTTTTTTTTAAAGTTTTCTTTTATTTCTATTATTAAACTGTTCTTATCTCAACCTACAGGTGAGGGGGTAGTGGGTGAATGGCTGTGTTGGCTGCTGGCCAAGGGCTAGCCCAGTGAAACTATCACAGTAATCCAAATATTTGAAGTAGAAAACATGTTTGTAAAGATGCTAGTGACTTAAAATATGTTAGCAACTACCATTAGATTAGGTAGGCAAGAGTCATGTGGAGACATACTGAGGAGTTGTATTTATATTGTTGTTAAATGTAGATTCCAGGATAGTTTGAAAAGATTAAAATGGCTGTAATATCTCTCCCCGTGTTCCCTGAAGCTGAACCCAAGTACTTTTATGATTATAAAAGCAGACTGTAAGCAGTGGCTGTGCATTCCAGCTGCTTAGTCCTGAAATATAACTGACCAATGTAAATCACTTTAAAGTAGTTTTGATAGTAACAACAGAAGGCATAGAAATTGAGTGAAACTTCCTGACTGAGAAAAAGATTTCGTTTCCATTTCAGGCATTTCAAACAAAAACAGCACTCCGAGTCAGCAAGGAGGTGGTGTTAGGGCTGTTACCTACCAGCAGAGTGAGGGGCATTCACCCTGGAGGAGATGTTTCTCAGGAGAAGCTCAGTTTCTCCATCCATCTGATGAGGGAGGTAGCCATGCTGCAGGACATGCTAGGTGGCCGATCCCCTTGGCACTCAATTGATTATGGTCATACCTGCTTGTTCATACCACATCCCAGCTTGATTTCTGATCAAAACTACATCAAGATATTGGATAATATGGTCTTTTTCCCTGCCTGAACAGTTAAATTTTCTGTGCAAGGTGGAACAGCTTCAAAAGGTGAGGGAAAGCACAAACCAGGGAAAAAAGTGAACCTGGATCCTCCAAACCCAACCCCAGACCAGCACCACAAGGCTAATTGCTGGAAGGTGAGCCACCAGCAACAGAAATTTCAGTCAGAAGTATTTAGAGAGATCCCATAGTGAGATGGAAATGATTTTTTTTGGTCAATCAATGGGGATAAAGCTGTGCTTCTCTAGCAAAGTAGTTCTCTTTGGCATTCGGGTGTCTGCAAGAGTGCAGTACTCATACATTTCACATGACTGCCAAAATACAAATCTGAAAGTGTAGCTTATGTCCTTAGATCTTGAGCCAGTAAGCTGAGTATTTCCCTGTTCATGCTGTGCATCTTTCACTCCTAATGAAGCAACTGTGCACAGACTCACTGCCTCATTGGGCTGGACAGTGAAAAGCAATAGATTAGTTTATTCTAGCCATGCATATTTAAAAAAAAAAAATAGCCATGTGTACAAACTACTGCTAAAGGGGAGGATGTGTCATCTGATAACTTCTGGAAGTAAAGAATTTCTTCACAAGTTAATTACAGAGGATGAATCCCAGTAGACTAATCAGAGTTGTAGGAAGTAGGCATTGTCCTGACTAGCAAATGGATAAGAAAATCTGGAATATTAGTAAGTATGTAATTTGTCTGCTTGAAGAATCTATCTTAAGAAAAAAAATTAATAACCACCCCACAGTTTATTTGAATTTTATTTTCCTGATTGAAGATTCAAGCTTAATGAGTTTTCTCTGTTTCAGGAATATCCCAACTGACTATTCATTAGAGGTGGCAGAACTAGAGAAAGGCTAACACTGGAAAAATACTTTTAATTCCAATTAGTAGACACAGTGTGTGAACATAGTCAAACAAAAAATGTGTCCTCAGATATTCTAAAATAGAGCTTTCTACCAAGGACATGCCCAGCAACTACAGCTTTGTATGGAAACTAAATTCTCAATTCAAACTTGGAATTATTCAGAACAGGAACTCAGTTCTCAGGAAACAGATAGATTATGTGACCTGACTACTTGATAAATCATCAGAGTGCAAGTAATAAAATTTCCATTCAAAATAGTCCAAGCTTTTATTGAAGTCTAAAATCTGGAATATATTCACCTAAAATCAGAGCTGGAGGTGGAGCAAAAGCTAGTTAGCGCATTGAGATAGCATGGATGAATGATGTTTGTCACCAGTGATACACACTGGATGTGATGTAGCTCCTTGCTGAAGCTGACTCTGCAGCTCAAACAAGCAGGTACTCAGAAACGGGTGGTCTGGTTATGAATGGCCAACAGCATGTATGCAGAGCAAGGCTGGGGTTTCCCCTCCTCATGACAAATAAAACTTTGTCTTTGCTCTGCTGTTGCAGCCACCTAGTCCTTTCAATGGTCACTGAGAAATGGGAGCATTTCTTACGATCTTTCAGCAGGGAAAAGACTGGGGTGCATTTGCAAGTACTTACTGAGTATGGGCAACATGAATTGGTAGGAAAGCAGGGATTTTCTATAGGAAGGACTGAGTGGTGATTGTTTATCTGACTCTAAACTGGATTAAAAAAAATGAATTAAGTACTCAGTTGCTCCTTTTTGCTCCCAAATATTTAAGACTTAATGAGCTGCCTACCTGCAGTGGTATGCACTCTGGGAGAGTTTATCAGAGACAGCTAGTTAGAGGTGCTGTCAGTTTCATACTTGACGAAAGGATGCTGGGGAAGCTACAGCCCTTCTGTTTTGGTACTTGTCTCTTGTATTTTATCCTTCCACAAGGAAGAGAAACACATATCTGAAGATATTTAGAGGGATTTGTGGCATTTGATATTTGATCATTTTTCTCCTTAGGATGGAGAGTCTGCATGAGCTGCTTTTACAGGAGCAGTGAGGACAGGTTGGTTAATCCTTAGTATCAGTTGTTTTTCTTGTACCTGCCAGCTTGATATTTTCTGGATCAGAATACAAGCTGGGATAGTTCTGTTTGTCTCATTTCTTCTTCATCTTATATACAGGAAGCATTAAAAATTAAAGACTCTGCAGAAGTTTACAAAGGCATTGGAAGGCTTGTTTCTTTACGCCTTTTTTTTCTGATGTCTTTTATAGCAAAACACAGAAGCAGACGACACCAAGTTGACAGGAGTGTTGATCTGCTTGAGGGTGGGAAGGCTCTCCAGAGGGATCTGGACAGGCTGGATTGATGGGCTGAGGCCAACTATATGAGGTTTAACAAGGCCAAGTGTGACCCAAGGTCCTGCACTTGGGTCACAACAACCTTAAAGGTCTTTTCCAACATAAACGATTCTATGATTCTAAGCATATTTAATTAAAATATTTAATTTTAACCTTGTTATTCAAATAAATGGAACATTTTCTGCAAGCTGCATTTTTATTACATTCTGTAGCTTACAGTCACATATATATACAATGAAGAGAAACTTTGCAACCCACAGCACAGAAAATAAAATCTGTCACTGAATAATGATGTAGACAAATAAAAATAGACCAACTTTTTTAATGTGCTTGACATCTCAGTTCTGTTGACTTGTGAATACTGAAAATAAGAAACTTGGACTGAAGACCATGTCTTCCTTCAGTTATCAAGCCATAAAATTGTTGCTATTTGTCAGCTGTTCAGTAATAACAAATTTTGCTCTATCATTTTTATTTCTGGTATTGCTATTAGTATGTTACAAATGCGACCTTCTGGTGGTGGTGAACTATTCTGTATTCAGTAGACTAGCAAAAGCTCATTTAATCACCAAAAAAGTGATTTTTGTATGAAATGAAGTTGTCAATATCGAAGTATTCAGGGGTTTAAAAAGGCATCTAGCGGTATTTTAGAAAACCTGGGGTATTATTCAAGGATGTCCGAATGTCCCAGATGTCTGCACAGGCCTGACAAATAGCACACAGGACCTCCAGGAGGAGACCCCATGCTGGGGCAGCAGCTGGAAACCAGGTGTGTCTCTGTAGGGCACCAGACTTCAGTTTAGATACTTGAAAAGCTCTGAGGTGTCTGAAGGTTTTTTTCCCAGAGGAACTGTCTCACAGAGGACTTGCTGGTGATGACCTACCCTGATAGTGCCTTTATCAGAAGGCAAAACACTCATTTGAAGTTCACTTTTCTTCACCAGTCCCCTCTCCTCCTGCCTCCTGTTTTCCCTTTTGCCAACAGCATGTGCTCATTTTCCAGCCAGGACTGATCCCTGTGTGTCCCCACTGGCACCGACACTGGTACCCGCACAGTGAAGGCTGACTCTGAGCAGAGGCTTGGGGAGAAGCAGGGACCATTTCAGATTATTTTAAACCCCCTGCTCCCTA